TTTTTTTTTTTTTTTTTTTATAAAAGAAACATGCTACGATGGTTACTCGGAGGAGCGGAGGAGAGAAATCATTAACAGGTTAGAGGGTAGACACATGTTAACATGGGTGACGGGCCAGGAAATATACAAGAGGGAGGTTGACAAAGGAAAGATGAAGGTAGTGGGGAACACGGGAGTTAAAAGTGATCAGAGGTAAATATTGATAACTGAGAAGAATATTGTAAGTACCCCGGACTGCCAGAAAAACAAATACATCTGTATTGGAAGAAGTACAGCCAGAGAGATTCTCGGGAGCCAGGATGGCCAGACTTCATCTCTCATCCTTCAGACATGTCATCAGGAGGGACCAACCCTGGAGAAGAACATCATGCTTGGTAAAGTGGACGGTCAGCAAAAAAGAGGAAGACCCCGTAACCAGATGGATTGACACAGTGGCAGCAATAATGGGCTCAAGCGGAACGACAATTGTGAAGAAAACGCAGGAGCCGGTAGCATTTCGTTCAGTTGTGCCTACGGTAGCTATGAGTCGGAATTGACTCGACAGCACCTAACAACAACAATTGTTAACCGATGGTCCATGGAAGGGAATGCAATCATTGTCATAAAGCCAAGGATATGATTTGTTGAATGAAAAACTGATGATCTGTCGTGTAAACCTTTACTCCATTCACCATAAAAAGTTAAATGCGGGACGGCATTAAGGGAATTGGAACACCTAGAACAGGAACAAGAATACTCACACATATGAAGAATGTGCCTGATGTCATGAAACAGTCCGTGTAGGTTGCTGAGTGGGAACTTGTACAGTTTCACCAAAAATATGACAAAATAGTATTTTTTTAAAACGGGGATACAGTAAACCCAGGCGCACACAGTCAAACCATCAGTGAAATCATCAAGCATTTATTGAGCACTGAGCATGTTCTCAGAGTCCCACTTGGCTCTGGAAAGACAGACCACAGTGTAGTTGACCCTGGTCATATTGCCAGAGGGTCCACTATTACAGAGCTGGCCATCAGGTAACACAAGCAGAGAGAAAATAATGAGAGAGCCGTTAAGTGGCTTTGGCCTCAACCACCACATTCATTTTGGCCATCTGGACATTGGACACAATGGCTCTGATGGTCAGAGAATCATGTTCCAGATCCAGGGTCTGCTGGGGGACCCGCAGGGCACATTTCACTACCTTCATCTCTGGGGACTCCTTCTCCTGAATGATGTTGTTAAAGACACGCTCCAGCTGGTCACTGGTAATGGGCCCAGTTAGGACAGCCAAGGCGAACTCAATAGTGTGGAGGGCATAGTTGAAGGGTGTGGAGAACAAGAGAGCCAGGTGGACTTCTGGACCTTGGTAGACCAGGAGGCCCACATTGCCCTGGAAGGCAGAGCTTGTCTTCTTCACAAAGGAACAGCTGATGGTAGACTTTGGTGGAAGCATAGCTGGGGGAGCCTGGGTATGATCACTATGGCAGTAAAACCTGGGGAGGAAGGGCAGTCAGAGGTCACCGATGTCCTTCGTTGAATATAGGACAAGAGCAGAAGGCTGGGAGGCCTCTAGGGGAACTTAGGGGATGGACAATTGTTCATTCATTCAGAATGTTGCTGTTAAGTGCAGTCAAGTTGGTTCCAACTCAGTGACCATGTATAGGATTTCCAAGGAGCAGCTGGTGGGCTTGAACTGCTGACCTTTGGGTTGGCAGTCCAGTGCTTATCGTACAGCACCGTACCTGAATTGTTGTTGTGAAGTACCACTGAGTAGGTTCTGACTCATAGCAACCCTGTATAGGGTTTCGAGGCTGTAAGGGAGTAGAAAGTCTCATCTTTCTCCTGCCGAGCGGCTGGTAGATTCAAACTGCTGACCTTGCAGTTAGCAGCCCAACTTGTGACCCATTATGCTACCAGGGCTCCTTTGTCACACCAGAACACGTGGGCTTAATCCACTGTGGAACCACGGTGGGCTCTATTGACTGTTGTTATAGATTGTCTCCCAAATATACAAGGAGGCTTCAAAAAATTTATGGAAAAATTGCATTATTGTTTCCTTCCATTTTCCACAAACTTTTTGAAGCTCCCATGTATTTGCGGTAAATCCTAACCCCTATACTTGTGGTCTGAAGTCCTGGTGTGATGCTGTTGGATAAGCACTGAACTGCTGACCACAACAAGGTCAGTGGTTCAAACCCATCAGTCACTCCTTGGAAACCCTATACACAGTTGCTATGAGTCAGAACTGACTTGACAGCACTTAACAACAACAATAACAAACTAACCTAAAGGCTGGAAGTTGATGCCACAGAACAAACACTTGGTAATCAATCTGTTTCTGTAAAGATTATAGGCAAGAAAACTCTACGGGGCGTACAGTTCTGCTCTGTATGGGACACATGGGTGACCATGAGTCAGAGTTGACTTGATGGCAACAAATTTATTATTAGGAGTCTCCGAGTAGTACACATGGTTAATGTGCTCAGCTGCTAACCAAAAGGTTGGAGGTTCAAGTCCGCCCAGAGGCACTTGGAAGAAAGGTCTGGTGATCAGCTTCCAAAAAGGTCAAAGCAAGATTAACTGTAAAACGAATGATCATGTCTGTAAACCACCACTCAATTCACAATAAAAAGTTAAATTTATATATTTATATAAATATAAATGTTGTTAAGTGCCGTCGAGTCGGCCCATAGCAACCCTGTATAGAGTTTCCAAGGAGCAGCTGGTGAGCTTGAACCGCCACAACAGGACTCCTAAATTTATATATATATATGGTTTGATCTAATCTATCTATCTATCTATCTATCTATCTATCTATCTATCTATCTATCTAATCTATCCAGAGAGTCCTGTAAGGTCGGAGGTTGAAGCTCACCAGTAGCTCCTTGGAAACCTTATACAAGGTCACTATGGGTTGGAACCGACTCGACAGCATTCAACAATAACAACACACATACATATATATATATAACAGCAAGATTGAATGTAAAACTGATGATCTTGTCTGTAAACCTCCACTCAATTCACAATAAAAAGTTAAGTGTAGATAAACAAACAAGATGGTGGATTGGGTAGAAGTGTAGTAAATCTTCCACCAGCAACAACAGAGAATATCCGACCAAGCAGGCTCAGGGGATGGTCCCAGAACTCTGAACCACATATAAAGGAATA